TAAACTGTTCATCAATGCGAACAGTGGACATGTAATTGGTTATCGGGACTGGGATGGATACTTTGTGATGCTTTTACAAACAAAGAGCATGCAGAGCAAGCACGAAAAGCTTGTGTGATCAAACCCAACTGGAAAACAGAATGAGGCTTGTATCCAGTATGTCTGTATGTGCCTGAGTGCACTATGGTTTGAGTGTGTGTGTGTGTGTGTGTTTGATTCCATGCAATTAGACTTACACATGCAACACACAGCTGTTGAGAAGAGTTTAACAGTTTTTGTTTTGTTTTACAAATCAAACCTAAACATTCGGAATAATAAAATAACGGTACACCACACTCCTCATAGAAACAGCTCCAGCAGCGCACTCTGAGAGACTTGGTGGGAATGCCATGGGTGTATTCATTAGTGCACACTGTAGCAAAATGTTTTGCAAACAGACAAATTCACGTTAGTCTTTCCCGGTTTCGGCCCGTTTGATTCCGTTTGTTTCCTAGTGAGTACACCCCATGTCTCTTCTAATTGCCAGCAGCTAATTTGAGTGGAGACCGTTCACTAGTGAATGCATGCTAAGTGAATGGTTACATAAAGTCCCCAAGCACGTATGTTATTAAGTGCTATGTGACAAGTAAGTCTCTGAACACTTAGCATGGGATATCTCAACACTCCCTCATCAGCAAATAGATCACAGCCATGAGGTAATTGTCCTGGAAGTACTGTACAATAGTCCCACACGGCCAACAGGGCTTACTCAGAAAGTGTACACTATTAAATCTTTGTAAGCTTATCCAGATTACATGTATAAGTATAACAATTACAGTACTATCATTCTACTATTTGATTACATACTTAGTCCAAAGACAAAAAAACGAAACAATCAAACATGTGCTTGTCTTGACAGTCTTGCAAGGTCCAATCAAAAAAGCGATTTCCCCTTCAATAATCTTTTGATAAATACTTCCAAAGAGATTCAAGTAAAGTTCAGTCAAAATGTTGTGACACTGTTGCTTGTTGACTTGAGTTACCATGGTGATCAACATTAAAAAGAGGTTAGGGCGTTGGAAGCCTTTCCCCTCCTTCCCTGATCCAAATGTCTCATTTGCGATAGGGCTTACATTTTTTGCGCTTTTAAGGAACGTTTTTGTGAAGGGTACAGTCCTATCTTGGCCATCAAAACAACTGCAGAGGTTGAACATCTGGAGTTACTGTGCTGAGTTAGAGAAGGAGCCAGTGACCCCCCTAACATCTACTACAAAACCATGGTGCTTGCCTACGGAGCTGTGAGGGGAACGGCACCTCCTTACCTTCAGGCTCTGATCAGACCCTACACCCAAACGAGGGCACTACGTTCATCCACCTCTGGCCTGCTAGCCCCCCTACCTCTACGGAAGCACAGTTCCCGCTCAGCCCAGTCAAAGCTATTCGCTGCTCTGGCACCCCAATGGTGGAACAAGCTCACCCACGACGCCAGGACAGCGGAGTCACTGACCACCTTCCGGAGACACTTGAAACCCCACCTCTTTAAGGAATACCTGGAATAGTATAACAGTAACACCCCCCCCCCCCCCCCCCCCCCCCCCCCCCCCATTAAAAAAAGGGTGGTTGTCCCACTGGCTATCATAAGTTGAATGCACTAATTTGTAAGTCGCTCTGGATAAGAGTGTCTGCTAAATGACTTAAATTAAATTAAATTAAATTAAATTAACACTACTAAGCCCAAACTCATAAATCACCTCTCCTCCACAGTCCCCAGAACAGTTTGAGCTCCTTGGACTTGACCCGTTTCTACACAGGCCAGCATTTCATTGCAGCCAGCATGAAAGTGCAGACTTAGTGTTTCAAAGATGAGAGGGTCCCTGTAAACCATTTGGACAAGGCCAGTGTTATCTCTGCCTGTGACAGGCAAGGTTCAGTGTCTCTCATCCACTTAAGGATCAGAGGGTAAAATAGCCTCAGAAGTATAAAGTATGGTCTACCAGTCTTAGCGAGACCGGTCAAGACAGGTTGATGTTGTGATAAAAATGTATAATAGACCACAGAGAAATACTTTCTCTTGTCACAATTAACATGAATTTGATCACTTAGATGAATGCAGCAACTTATTGAGCACAGTATTAACCTTATATGGGATCGGTGTCCGTATACGGGACGGTTGAGCTAACATGTGCTAATGTGATTAGCATGACTGTTGTAAGTAACATCAAACTTTCCATGACATAGACATGTCTTATATGGGCAGAAAGTTTAAATTCTTGTTAATCTAACTGCACTGTCCAATTTATAGTAGCTATTACAGTGAATAAATACCATGCTTTTGTTTGAGGAGAGTGCACAACATCAAAAAACTTAGCACAGCAACTGGTTTGATACATTCACCTCTGAAGGTAAAAAATGTACTTACATTCAGTAATCTTGCTCTGATTTGTCATCCTGAGGGTCCCAGAGATAAAATGTAGCATAGTTTTGTTTGATAAAATACATTTTATATTCAAATGTAGTCAACTGACCAATTCGGCACATTGGAATATGCATATCCTTCCTTCAGGTTCTGAGCTACAGGCAGTTAGATTTGGGTAAGTAATTTTAGGGGAAAATTGAAAAAAAGGGTCTGATCCTTTAAGCCAATCAAACCATGGCAATTATATCTTCAACAGTGGAACTTAAATGGTGCCTAGTAGGTCTATTTCACCTGGAGTATATCATCCGGACTTCTATAGTGGTCAGGTGATCAATCCCTTGCCTCAAATTACTTCTGTTTGCCGGTAAGTGCTTTGCTTGGCCTTTTCTCACTCCTCTCTAAAAACTATCCTATGTTGTGTCAGTATGGCACACATACACACACACACCCACACCCACACACCCACAGGATCTCTCACTAACTCGGTTAAGTCTTCCTTTTTGGCTTTTGGCCTCTCTCTTTTTAGGTCAGTCTGACATTTCACAGGCCCCAGGGACCAGTCAGTACCGTTAAAGGGCTTTGCTCTCATGTACCAGATCTCCTCCAGCCCTACACCCTTAGATAAAAGGGTTCTAGATAGCACCTTTCTAAGAGTGTACAGCACAGACCCTGCAATTCCCCTTTAACACAGTACTGTCCATTTGATTCCCATGTTCAAAGAGACCAAACAGAATAGAGTTTCATTGGTTTCATTCCTTCCTTCCTGCGTTTTCACCAGTATTTTGCTCTTCCTTTGATGACATATTTTGATGTTAGATACAAAGCGTGTTGGACAGTTGGTGATTCAAGAGGGCAAAAAGAAGAAATCCAATGCTTAAGTTGATTAGAAAGTCTAATAAATGTTTATTTCCCCCGTTCCCAGATGAAACACAAAGTTAAGTAAAACAAAACAATAAAACACTAACTGTTTGATAAGTACATTCCATATTCAAAAACCTGAACATGCGTGTTTGAGGCAGTGATTCCAGAAGTGCATTTACATTACATTATGAATTGGTTTAACTGTCATTATATACACACTGCCAGATAGGACTTGTGTAAACATCAGCGTGGATTATGAGTGTCTTTAGCATGGTGAGGGAAAGTCTGTATTGGAGTATTGAATTAATATAAACCTATGATGACTCTTTCAAAGTCATTGTGGACCTGTGAGTGTATGTGCATGTGCGTATGTAAATAAGGATTTATAATCTCTGTCCCATGATATTCATACACATTACTGAAAACAATGATGAAACCTTATACTCATGAGTTTAACATTTAATGAAAAACATATTCTGTATCTGTTCCAGAAATGTTATATTACAAACATTGGATGTACTCTGCAACTCAACCAAAAAACAACAACAAAAAAAACACACTATGTAGCACCAGTAGGAAGAATCATGCAGCAAATTGATTTGCTTTCTTTTTTTTTGTGTGAAAAAGACTACTTCAAGACTTATTTTGATCAAATCCTGTTTGTGGAATCCAGTGCAGCCACCTCTCCTTTGGTACGGCTTCTCTTTGGCCATTTTTGTTGATTTTCCTCGGAATCTCCTCAGTAGAGGTATACGTTGACAATGAATCAATGTCCTCCTACGTTCTTATTGCGGCAATGACTCCTTGGTTGACAGGTGCTGTCGGTGAAAAGAAGGAAAGAAGACAGACATGATTTTAAAACAAAACCAATTCTCCCTGCATTTAATTTATCTTGTTCTGAGGGCAGGTATGCCGCGAGGGCAGAAACAAATGTGATTGGTTAAGGTTAGACAAGTAATCCCAATTGGCTAAGGTTAGGGTTAGGGGTTGGGTTAAGTTTAGAAAATAGATGTTATTGGTGAAGGTTAGGGGTTGTGGTAAGATTCCAAAGAGCAACTTTGTATATGGCAACTCATATACAAAGTAACTTTGTTACGCTCCCGTTCTACCACCAACCTACCACCTAGTGAAGCTTTTCTTCTCTTTCCTTTCATTCTCACTCGTCGCTGTGAGCGCCGCCCGTGGTTTGCACGGCTTTCATCCAACCAATCCCATGCCTTCTGCCCTGGAGGCAGAGCTGCCGTCAGGACAAGATTGAAGGAAAACTCCACTGAGCATTTATTTACACACAGAATATTTGCAATAACATGTCTGTACCTGAGAAATTAATTTTAGATGATGGATTGACAGATGGAACATCCACCTCTGATAAGGTATATACTACTGTACACTATCCTTTGTTTACCCACCCATATGGAAGCAAAACTGTTTATATGCAACTGTTGGCAACCTGTCATGCTTAGTTAAGTCCCAATAAATGTATCTTACTAAAAGCAGACAGGTAAAGAGGGAACAGCTAGATTGCTAGATAAATATACAGACCAATGATTAAATAGATGGACATATTGACAAATAGACAGACAGGCAAGCAGGCAGACACCAGTGTCTAGACATAATGCTTGTACAAATAGACAGACTAGATGTATGAATGGACAGATAGATGGACAGGCACTGGCAGGGCAGACAGACATACAGATAGACAGACACAAACACACACACACACACACAGAAACAGATATGATGACTAGCGAGACCCACCTGCTTTTCCACAGGCCTTCTCACACTCCTCGTGAGTTTCGAAGCGATTCTGGTTGCCGCCACAGCCTCCGTACCAGAAGCGTGTGCAGCTCTTGCTAAGGGGGTCGTAGTGCCACTTGAGAACAAACTTTGCGCAGGCGCCTTCCTCTTTGGGGAGCTGACAGATTTCCACTCCTGTAAAGGCTGCTGTGAGGGAGGAGAGAATAGGCCAATAAATGTGTGACCCACAGGAATCAACTGCATCAGTTGATCCAATAGGAAATGAATTGCAACATAATAGAGGTGAATATGGTTAATATGATCGACAACTTGAGAGAAAGCATTCCCTACCACAAGCCATTCCCCCGTCAAACTCAAGATCTTGAATATAGTTTACAGTACAATAGATCATAATATGAACTCTCTGCTGCCTGAAAGCGCACCACCTAATCAGGCTCATTTTCGAAAAGTTTACTAGACAAAAAAAACTGTGAACCATGCAGCGAACAGCCCTCGTCATTCATTTGCTCCACGCTTATGACAAAACTATAACTTTCCCCTTTTCCAAGGTTGGCTTTTCACTCATTCCATAATTCATTCTGAGGCATCGGGGGGGTTTGTCGCCAGACACAAAGGGGCTCATTGTTTGCAGAGTGAACACAGAGGATATTGTGTTACGCAATGTATATAACCTGCTACAGTGTAGATGTTATATCAGCATTTTCCACAGCACTGGGTAAGAGGACTGAATTGAAATCATGCTTGAGTTGAGAGGGTTTCCTGCCTGAAACCCTCTCAACTAATCATAGTTATAGACACACAAAGACTGATAATTCTGTATACCAGTACTCCTAATGCATTATAAGTATAACCATAATCACTTATAATGTACAGCAACATAGTGGTTCATAATTGCTGGTCACTTTTCCCTCAAGGATCGTACAGCATTATAATGACCATCAGTACGATGCATTTGTAACGTTTTTGTCAATGAGCAGCACATCATTATTTCTGCATTATAATCTTTGTTATGGTGTGTTATAGCTTTACTTTAGGTAAAGTGATGAAATGCCTAGGGCAGACAGATATAATACCCCATAAGCTGTTACAATACAATTATAAAGTGGTCATTGTCTGCTTTCAGTAAAGTGAAACCTTCTGCGCAATTCATGATGACACAACACAGTCGTCCTCTGTTGCTCAGTTGGTAGAGCATGACGCTAGCAACGCTAAGGTTGTGGATTTGATTCCCACTGGGACCATACAGTATATACAAAAGATGTATGTGCTGACTGTACTATAAGTTGCTTTGGTTAAAACCATCAGCTAAATGCCATATATTTTTTATATATACTGTACGATTTTGTCGCACAGGGCTTTGACTTTTTCAGTTTTGGACTACTTATGTTAATCAGTGCCTTTTGGGGGCCCTAATCGAGATTTGGCCGTGCTGAATAGGCATTCTTTCAGTTGCTTGTAAACTTTTATTTAGACCTTTTTTGGAAGTACATACCAGCCGTGACGGCAGTTAATGATAATTGTTGCTGATCGAAAGTCCATATTTGGTGAGTAACAAATGTATTTTTACATTATTAAGCTTGTAAAGCTGGTGAATGGCAAGTTGAATGGCTGCTTCCTGGGCTTAAAGGAGATTTGCCATATCAACGTCTTCTGTAAGGCCAGATTCTGTTTCAGGCTGTGCACAGACCTTTTGGGGGCATGTGCTCAAACAAACAAAAAATCCCTGCAACTGCAATCAAAGACTCAGCATTGAGCAGTTATTACAATAAGAGTGGAAAGCAGCTCAATCTGATAAGTAAACTATTTTGGAATAAATGCTGCACTTACAGTGGGGAAAAAAAGTATTTAGTCAGCCACCAATTGTGCAAGTTCTCCCACTTAAAAAGATGAGAGAGGCCTGTAATTTTCATCATAGGTACACGTCAACTATGACAGACAAAATGAGAATTTTTTTCCAGAAAATCACATTGTAGGATTTTTTATGAATTTATTTGCAAATTATGGTGGAAAATAAGTATTTGGTCAATAACAAAAGTTTCTCAATACTTTGTTATATACCCTTTGTTGGCAATGACACAGGTCAAACGTTTTCTGTAAGTCTTCACAAGGTTTTCACACACTGTTGCTGGTATTTTGGCCCATTCCTCCATGCAGATCTCCTCTAGAGCAGTGATATTTTGGGGCTGTCGCTGGGCAACACAGACTTTCAACTCCCTCCAAAGATTTTCTATGGGGTTGAGATCTGGAGACTGGCTAGGCCACTCCAGGACCTTGAACTGCTTCTTACGAAGCCACTCCTTCGTTGCCCGGGCGGTGTGTTTGGGATCATTGTCATGCTGAAAGACCCAGCCAAGTTTCATCTTCAATGCCCTTGCTGATGGAAGGAGGTTTTCACTCAAAATCTCATGATACATGGCCCCATTCATTCTTTCCTTTACACGGATCAGTCGTCCTGGTCCCTTTGCAGAAAAACAGCCCCAAAGCATGATGTTTCCACACCCATGCTCCACAGTAGGTATGGTGTTCTTTGGATGCAACTCAACATTCTTTGTCCTCCAAACACGACGAGTTGAGTTTTTACCAAAAAGTTATATTTTGGTTTCATCTGACCATATGACATTCTCCCAATCCTCTTCTGGATCATCCAAATGCACTCTAGCAAACTTCAGACGGGCCTGGACATGTACTGGCTTAAGCAGGGGGACACGTCTGGCACTGCTGGATTTGAGTCCCTAGCGGCGTAGTGTGTTACTGATGGTAGGCTTTGTTACTTTGGTCCCAGCTCTCTGCAGGTCATTCACTAGGTCCCCCCATGTGGTTCTGGGATTTTTGCTCACCGTTCTTGTGATCATTTTGACCCCACAGGGTGAGATCTTGCGTGGAGCCCCAGATCGAGGGAGATTATCAGTGGTCTTGTATGTCTTCCATTTCCTAATAATTGCTCCCACAGTTGATTTCTTCAAACCAAGCTGCTTACCTATTGCAGATTCAGTCTTCCCAGCCTGGTGCAGGTCTACAATGTTGTTTCTGGTGTCCTTTGACAGCTCTTTGGTCTTGGCCATAGTGGCGTTTGGAGTGTGACTGTTTGAGGTTGTGGACAGGTGTCTTTTATACTGATAACAAGTTCAAACAGGTGCCATTAATACAGGTAACAAGTGGAGGACAGAGGAGCCTCTTAAAGAAGAAGTTACAGGTCTGTGAGAGCCAGAAATCTTGCTTGTTTGTAGGTGACCAAATACTTATTTTCCACCATCATTTGCAAATAAATTCATAAAAAATCCTACAATGTGATTTTCTGGAAAAGAAATTCTCAATTTGTCTGTCATCGTTGACGTGTACCTATGATGAATATTACAGGCCTCTCTCATATTTTTAAGTGGGAGAACTTGCACAATTGGTGGCTGACTAAATACTTTTTTTCCCCACTGTATTTACACCAACACAATTCCAGTCAAAATAAGATTTTAAGAAATACTGTAGCCTACCATTACTATATATAACCCAACTCCATTTATTGCCACTATCATGTATCCCAGTGTTTTTCAAACTTTTTGACCCTCAACCCCCAAAAAGGAGTGGTACAAAACTTGCGACCACCGCGCACATGTGCACACACGAAAATGCGTGCACAATCACTGCGTAAATGTAGCCTGTCATTACACCCATAAACGGTGATGCATTTTACACCTCCATTTGGAGCTGAAAGTCATTCATGTTAGCAGACAACATCAAGTAGGGTTATATCATGTCTCTTCTCTGGAGTCCAGAGCAAGCAAAATCATACTGCCTACTTGTAGCGGAGGTTGCAGGATCGGAGGGAAAGCATATTTTGCACCGCACCATGACTTTGGAGGGCAGCCTGCCTGCAGAGTGCTGGTTGCCAGCCGGGTAGCCCTGTTCTTCCTCACAAATATCGTAATAAATTCGGCAAAATATGTTACATCTTCATCTCATAATACTAAAGGCAGTGCGATGTTACAGTTGCTTATCGTTAGACATATAGCCAGTAGCCACCCAAACTAGGCCTATCTGAAATATGCATATTATCAATCAAATCGCCAAGTAGCCTATTGCTCTGGCAAAGATGAGTCAGTTGTAGGTCGCTAAACTGTATTTTATATGGATGATAAATGTAGGCCTACTCTGTTTTTGGAAAACTCATCTTGCTATGCACACCTGTGCAAGATTTTGGTTCTGAAGCATAAATGAGAATTTAACAATGACTTGTGGGCAGTTGGTTAAGAACAACAACAAAAATTTGGGGGGAAATTATACCACCACCGAAAGGCCAAAGGGGCATGTGCCCTGCACAGGTATATCCCTATGTGCATACAAAGCACATATCGTAATAAATTCTCCAGAATATGTTACATCTTCATCCCATAATGTTGAAGGCAGTGCGATGTTACAGCTGCTTATCGTCAGACATATAGCCAGTAGGCCCCCAAACTAGGCCTATCTGAAATATGAAAATTAGGTAACACTTGACACCCAGCATGATAACATGTTATGACACAGTCATAACCATGTCATAATATCTCATAACAGCTGACATAACTTGTCATAACCTGTTATAATATGGTCATAACACTGTCATGACACATATATTTAGACCTGTTGTGACATACAGTACCAGTCAAAAGTTTGACACACCTACTCATTCAAGGGTTTTTCTTTATTTTTACTATTTTCTACATTGTAGAATAATAGTGAAGACATCAAAACTAGGAAATAACACATATGGAATCATATAGTAACCAAAAAAGTGTTAAACAAATCAACATATATTTTATCTTTGAGATTCTTCAAAGTAGCCACCCTTTGCCTTGATGACAGCTTTGCACACTCTTGGCATTCTCTCAACCAGCTTCATGAGGTAGTCACCTGGAATGCATTTCAATTAACAGGTGTGCCTCGTTAAAGGTTAATTTGTGGAATTTCTTTCCTTCTTTTGAGCCTATCAGTTGTGTTGTGACAAGGTAGGGGTGGTATACAGAAGATAGCCCTATTTGGTAAAAGACCAAGTCCATATTATAGCTAAAACAGTTCAAATAAGTAAAGAGAAATGACAGTCCATCATTACTTTAAGACATGAAGGTCAGTCAATATGGAAAATGTCAAGAACTTTGAAAGTTTCTTCAAGTGCAGTCGCAAAAACCATCAAGCGCTATGATGAAACTGGCTCTCATTTGGACCGCCACAGGAAAGGAAGACCCAGAGTTACCTCTGCTGCAGAGGATAAGTTCATGAGTTACCAGCCACAGAAATTGCAGCCCAAATAAATGCTTCACAGAGTTCAAGTAACAGACACATCTCAACATCAACTGATCAGAGGAGACTGCATGAATCAGGCCTTCATGGTCGAATTGCTGCAAAGAAACCACTACTAAAGGACACCAATAATTAGAAGAGACTTGCTTGGGCCAAGAAACATGAGCAATGGACATTAGACTGGTGGAAATCTGTCCTTTGGTCTGATGAGTCCAAATTTGAGATTTTTGGTTCCAACCGCCATGTCTTTGTGAGATGCTGAGTAGGTGAACGGATTATCTTCACGTGTGGTTCCCACTGTGAAGTATGGAGGAGGAGGTGTGATGGTGTGGGGGTGCTTTGCTGGTGACACTGTTGGTAATTTATTTAGAATTCATGGCACACTTAACCAGCATGGCTACCACAGCAAACTGCAGCGATACGCCATCCCATCTGGTTTGCGCTTAGTGGGACTATCATTTTGTTTTTCAACAGGACAATGACCCAACACACCTCCAGGCTGTGTGAGGGCTATTTGACCAAGAAGGAGAGTGATGGAGTGCTGCATCAGATGACCTGGCCTCCACAATCACTGTCATCAAGGCAAAGGGTGGCTACTTTGAAGAATCTCAAAGATAAAATATATGTTGATTTGTTTAACACTTTTTTGGTTACTATATGATTCCATATGTGTTATTTCCTAGTTTTGATGTCTTCACTATTACTCTACAATGTAGAAAATAGTAAAAATAAAGAAAAACCCTTGAATGAGTAGGTGTGTCGAAACCTTTGACTGGTACTGTATATTGCGTTATTTTATGGCTGGTTATGACACCTACATAAGAGTGTCAAAACCTACCACACAAAACTGGAGGAAATTAATGTTATTTCTGGTCAATAATCTGGATATGCACGCCCTCCTTTGCGCACCAATGCTGATGACTAGTCATTGGTCAACAATGAAGACGCAAAATTGTTGTGTTCTGAAGCATAGATGAGAATTTTATGAATACTTGCAGGCAGTGGGTTCTGAATAACCATGACAAAAAATTATACCACCACCGAAAAGAGCACTTTGGTGACTGGAAGGGCAAAGGTGCATGTGCTCTGGCATTATTCAGGTACTCATAATGCACTATGATAGAGTAATAATGCAGTATGCAAGCATCGTTATAGATGCACATAAATAATCATAATTCCGTATACCAATACTCCTAATGCATTGTAAGTATAATCATAATCACTTATAATGTACAGCAACAGTGCTTCATAATTCCTGGTCACAGCATTATAATGCGTTTCTAATGTTTTTGTCAAATCAATGCAATAGATAGTATAGAATACAGTATATACATATGAGATGGGTAATGCAAGATATGTAAACATTATTAAGATAGATTAAGGAGTGTCAAAGAGCAGCCCATCATTATTACTGCATCATAATGTTTGTTATGGTGTGTTATAGAATACTTCTAAGCAGGCATGTGCCCAGATCAAATCAAATCAAATCACATTTTATTTGTCACATGCTTCGTAGACAACAGGTGTAGACTAACAGTGAAATACATACTTACGGTTCCTTTTCCAGCAATGCAGTATTAAAGATACCATTAAAAAAAATATATATATATATATATAAATAGTGACACAGTGAATAACGAATAATAATAATGACAAAAAATACCACGGCTATATACAGGGAGTACCAGTACCAAGTCGATGTGCGAGGTAATTGAGGTAGTGACTAGCAGCAGCGTGTGTGTGTGTGTGTGGTGTCAGTATGCATGTGTGTGCATGTTATGTGTGTGTGGACATATGGTGTGTGTGTGTGTGGCGTCAGTATGTGTGTGTGTAAGTATGTGTGAGTGTGTGGATACAGTCCAGTGTGTGCGCATAGAGTCAGTGCAAGAGAATTAGTGCAAAAAAGGGTCAATGCAGGTAGTCTGGGTAACCATTTGATTAGCTATTTAGCCGTCTTGTTTAGAAGTCTTATGGCTTGGGAGTAGACGCTGTTCAGGATCCTGTTGGTTCCTGACTTGACGCATTGATACCACTTGCCGTGCTGTAGCAGAAAGAACAGTCGGTGTCTTGGGTGGCTGGAGCCTTTGACAATTTTTGGGGCCTTCTTCTGACACTGCCTGGTATAGAGGATGGTAGGGAGCTCTACCCCAGTAATGTACTGAACCGTACGCACTACCCTCTGTAGCGCCTTGTGGTCGGATGCCAAGCAGTTGCCATACCAAGCGGTGATACAACCTGTCAAGATACTATGGATGGTGCAGTTGTAGAATGTTTTCAGGATCTGATGGCCCATGACAAATCTTTTCAGCCTCCTGCGGGAAAGAGGCTTTGTCGTGCCCTCTTCACGACTGGTCAGACCATGCTCTGAGTATGTGTCCTGGTAATCCATCTGGTCCTGCAGCCTTGTTAATGTTAACCTGTTTAAAGGTCTTACTCACATCAGCTACTGCGAGTGTGATCACATAGTCGTCCGGAACAGTTGGTGTTCTCACGCATGGTTCAGTGTTGCTTGCCTTGAAGCAAGTACAGAAGGCATTTAGCTCGTCTGGTAGGCTTGTGTCTCTGGGCAGCTCGTGGCTGTGTTTCCCTTTGTAATCTGTAATAGTTTGCAAGCCCTGCCACATCCAATGAGCGTCAGAGCCAGTGTAGTAGGATTCGATCTTAGTCCTGTATTGACGCTTAATGCACTTATTAATGAAGCAGGTGATTGATGTGGTAAACTCTGCAATGCCATCGGATGAATCCCGGAACATATTCCAGTCTGTGCTAGCAAAACAGTCATGTAGCTTAGCATACGCTTCACCACTTCCGAATTGAGCGTGTCACTGGTACTTCCTGTTTGTATGCACATAGGGCTATACCTGTGCAGGGCACATGCACCTTTGGCCATTCGGTGGTGGTATAATTTCCCCCAAAAAATTGTTGTTGTTGTTGTTGTTCTTAACCAACTGCCCGCAAGTCATTGTTAAATTCTCATTCATGCTTCAGAACCAAAAATGTGCACAGGTGTGCAAAGCCAGATTAGTTTTCCAAAAACAGAGTAGGCCTACATTTATCATCCATATAAAATACAGTTTAGCGACCTACAACTGACTCATCTTTGCCAGAGCAATAGGCTACCTGGCGACTTGATTGATAATATTCATATTTCAGATAGGCCTAGTTTGGGTGGCTACTGGCTATATGTCTGATATATCCTTACTTGATGTTGTCTGCTAACATGAATGACTTTCAGCTCCAAATGGTGGTGTAAAATGGATCACCGTTTATGGGTGTAATGGCAGGTTACATTTGCGCAGTGATTGTGGCGCATGTGGATGTGTGTGCGTGGGGATCACAAGTTTTGTACCACTCCTTTTTGGGGGTTGAGGGTCAAAAAGTTTGAAAAACACTGGGATACATGATAGTGGCAACAAATGGAGTTGGGTTGGATATAGTAATGGCAGGCTACAATATTTCTTACAATCTTCTATTTTGACTGGAATTGTGTTGGTGTAAATAAGTGCATCATTTATTCCAGTTCAGAATAGTTTCGCAAAATACTTTACTTATCAGATTGCGCTGCTTTCCCCTCTTGTTGAAATAATTGCTCAACGATGAGTCCGTGATGGCAGTTGAGGATATTTTTCTTTTGGGGGGGGGGGGGGGGGGGGGGGGGGGGGGGGTACCCTTTATGGGGGTTTGTGCACGGCCCTGTATAATGCGGTATAATGCATATCGACTTCATAGAAAGTTTTACCAATAGGGTAACTTACCGGGAGCTGGAAGGATCTCAGTCTCGGGCTGCTGCTCCACTTGTTGCTGAGGCTCTGGTGCTGTCGAACAGGGAAAAAACAAAAGTTTCTAAAGTCAAGCAACAACCTTTTACCAACTGATCTACAACATCCTTAACACTTTAATTGTACGCTCCGTCATATAGCTGTTTTTACACTGTGATGTAATAGATGTCATATACAGTCATGATAGGTAACAATATACACACTTAACATGGTTAGCTTATCAGCTAGCTAACCAGGTAATCTAAATTGCATCCTGTATCATGATTATATCATGTTAGTTGCAAAAGCATGACATTAGCTATCAGGACTGCTTACGACAACTGTTATCAAGCGAATTACAGTCTACGATTGTCTACTTAGTTAGTTAGTCAAATATGACCAGACAGGTGCAAACAGCCTCTGCAAGCTTTCAGAAAACCTGGCAACAAGGACCACTCACCTGACCTCATGCAGCGTTTCAAGCACTGGGCCTCAGTCTCGAACCTATTGACATTGCCTTCACAACCACCATACCAGAACTGGGTACAGATCCCGTTCTTTCTGTCAAAGAACCACTTAGCCTGATAGTCTTTGCACGCCATTCCAGGGTCATAGTCAAGAGAGCATGGGTCTGCGAGCTCGTTAGCTAGAACATGCAAAAACAAGACCAGTCACGAGAGGGTTAAGAGAGAAGAGAGATGTATAAGTATGTTTAAGATGAACATCGCCCATCTAAACATATATTTGAGTTACTGTGAGCTAGTTGTCTGCCATGACTAAACAGTAAGTAATGAATATGTAACGGTATTGTTACTGGTTTAGAAGTGAAATGTGAAAACAGAACATTTGATAAGGTAATCAAATGTATCTCATTGCTGGTAAATTAAACTTGTGAAAACTCAGAGCAAAAATCTAATAGTAGGACCATGGCATGTCACAGTAGCTGTACATCTACAATGTTAGTCGTTTTGAACAAAGAGAGTAGAAAAGGCACAGATAGTACAGTAGCATAGGTTTGTATTGGTGAATTGTTGATATGAAAGGATAGTAGGCATAGCCAATCAGCTGCTTCTCCCTAAACCATGTTGCTATCAGAGTTAATATATGTTAATGTTAGTACATTTTAGTATTGAGTAAGTCTGTGGCTGTGTGGTCTCCGTGTTATCCTCTTAAGGATCGGACCCCTTTTTTCAATTTTCGCCTAAAATGACATTCCCAAATCTAACTGCCTGTAGCTCAGGACCGGAAGCAAGGATATGCATATTATTGACACCATTTGAAAGGAAACACTTTGAAGTTTGTGGAAATGTGAAATTAATGTAGGAGAATATAACACATTAGATCTGGTAAAAGATAATACAAGCAAAAAAACATATATTTTTTTAATCATCTTTGAAATGCAAGAGAAAGGCCACAATATAATATTGCAGTTTAGGCGCAATGTTGATTTAGCATAGTTTCAGATTGATCCAGTGAAGCATTGCAATACTGGACTATTTTGTATCAAGTCTGCCCAAATGTGCCGAATTGGTAAATTGATAAATTTTCAAGTACATAACTATAGAGAATATACAAAAATGAAATTGTAATACAAAATGTAAGTTTACACACTCCCAGGAATGTCATACATGATGGATCATTAGCTTATACACTAACTTTCACACATCTAGATGGCCGGGCGGGGTGGGTGTGGAGCCAGAGACAGTTCCTACATTTGAATATAAAAATTGATTTCATCAAACAAAATTATGCTACATTTTATCTCTGGGACCCGTAGGATGACAAATCAGAGCAAGATTACTGAATGTAAGTACATTATTTACCTTCAGAGGTGAATGTATCAAACCAGTTGCTGTGATACGTTTTTTGTTGTTGCGCACTCTCCTCAAACAATAGCACGGTATTCTTTCACTGTAATAGCTACTGTAAATTGGACAGTGCAGTTAGATTAACAAGAATAAGACATGTTTATGTCCTGGAAAGTTTGCTGTTACTTACAACAGTCATGCTAATCACATTAGCGCACGTTAGCTCAACCGTCCTGTATACGGGACACCGATCCCGTAGAGGTTATGCAGCGAAACCTCCATCAGTACCTAATCCTGGTGGGTCAACTCCAAAAGTACCTCTCGGTAAAGCTGAGAAAGTACATGAATTCAACCACAGTCTTGGACGCAAGCGCACCCGTCAAAACCACCCTACGGCAAAGTCCTTCCTGCTTTGCACATTACACAGTGATAGTATATTATTTTCTTATTGACATAGCGTTATCATTGTATAGTATTGCAATAATATGACTGGCTTCAATCAATACCAATGATGTATATACAGGTAACTGCCAAAATAAAGGAAAAACCAACATAAAGTATCTTAATAGGCATTGGGCCATCACGAGCCACCAGAACAGCTTCAATGTGCCTTGGCATGGATTCTACAAGTGTCTGGAACTCTATTGGACGGATGCGACACCATTCTTCCACGAGAAATTCAATAATTTGGTGTTTTGTTGATGGTGGTGGAAAACGCTGACTCAGGCGCCGCTCCAGAATCTCCCATAGGCCTAAGTGTTCAATTGGGTTGATCTGGTGATATGGAATATGGTTTACATAATTGTCATGCTCATAAAACCATTCAGTGACCACTCGTGCCCTGTGAATGGGTCATTGTCATCCTGGAAGAGACCACTCCCATCAGGATAGAAATGATTCACCATAGGTTGAAGGTGATTACTCAGAATAGGTGTGTATTTATTTGCATTTACCTTGCCCTCTAAGGTGTGGACCTAAACTATGCCAGGAATATGCACCCGACACCATAACAGAGCCACCAGAACCCAAATTTACTCAAGTGTTTCCTTTATTTTGGCAGTTACCTGTATGTAGATCATATATAATGTATATATAATATGTACATATATTGTAAGTATATCATGAAAATATATGTATATGTTTTTATTTTAATCAGCAGTCACTATGACAACTATAGTAGTTATATTTGTGAGTTCTCAGAGTTCTCATAATCTCAGAGGCAGCCCCCCTTGAAAACTCCCTGATTCGCTGGTTCAGGAGATGACCTCATCTCTTAGCCATTCCCACCATAAGGGAGAGCGTGCAGTGGCCTCACTCCAAGGCTCAACATGTGAGCAATAAATCTTCATCAATGGAGTTATTTTCCACAAAAACGTTTTCTGTCTCACTGTAAAAGCTACAGGAGCTATACCAATGGTTAAGAGATTGTCTTTTAGGGCGGCAGGTAGCTTAGTGGGTAAGAGCGTTGTGCCAGTAACCGAAAGGTCGCTGGTTCTAATCCCCGAGCCGACTAGGTGAAAAATCTGTCGATGTGCCCTTAAGCAAGACACTTAACCCTAATTGCTCCTGTAAGTCGCTCTGGATAAGAGCGTCTGCTAAATGACTAAAATGTAAAAATGTAAATGTAAATGTCTTTCAGTGAACAGTTCAGTTGTTTATTAAGTAATAGTTTACTCCATGCCCAATATTTTTGGCAGCATCACTTACTATCAGGGGCAGAAGTACTGCTTGTTTTCTTACAGAAAACGTCCCTTTTCATGCTCATGCTAACTAGCAGTAGCCACCGCAGCAATTTTGGAATGGCAGTGTCAGCCAAGCAGCTCCTTTCTTGTTCAACGCGATGTGCCATTCCAAAATGACTGCTGTGGCTACTGCTAGCTATCATGATGACGAAAAGGGCAGTTTTCCGGGAAACAAACTAGCAGTATTTAAATCTTCTCAACCCATATGTCGCGCTGGCTCCACAGTGTCTTAATGTAACCACGATTGTGTTCCGATCCCAGTGCAGCTCAGTGTAAACAAGCGTAAGAGTAGGGTCGGTTTCTTCTAGCAAGGGCGGACTGGGACCAGATTAATTTTTCCATGAGGTCCACCGTCCCATTTTTTTCCTTGAGGTCCCCATTATTAACCAGATAATGAGCATTTTGTGCAAAAAAGTTAGGGCTACAAATGGACCAGCCCATTTAACATGATGGTCTATCAGCCCCTACTGAATATAGATTAAAAAGGCCAATTTTTTAAAGGCCCACTCTGTGATATTTACACCCATTTTTTATCATTTAAATAAATTATAGACGAGTGGGCTTTTAACTTGAAAATCATTGTGCATGATGTGTGAAATATCTTTGTGTGTTGAAGAGTGATTCTGAACCATACTGTTGGATTTTCTGATCAGACCCTACACCCAAACGAGGGCACTACGTTCATCCACCTCTGGCCTGCTAGCTCCCCTACCTCTACGGAAGCACAGTTCCCGCTCAGCCCAGTCAAAGCTATTCGCTGCTCTGGCACCCCAATGGTGGAACAAGCTCCCCCACGACGCCAGGACAGCGGAGTCACTGACCACCTTCCGGAGACACTTGAAACCCTACCTCTTTAAGGAATACCTGGAATAGTATAAAGTAATCCTTCTTCCCCCACCCCCCATTGAAAAAAAATTGTTGAATGCACCAATTTGTAAGTCGCTCTGGATAAGAGCGTCTGCTAAATTATGTAAATGTGAAATGTAAATGTATTGGAGTAACAACGATGCTGCCAATGCAAATCCAAACACAATGAATTCCTATTAGAGACCATTAGCTAAAAACAAAGGCAATCTCTGAACCAGGCAAACCAAGGGGCGGTTTCTCAAAAGTAGAAGCTGGCTCCCCTAATTCTAAACCTAACCCTAAATTTAACCCTTAATCCTAAAATTGCCTTTTTTCCTTGTGGGGGCCAGCGAAATGTTCCCACTTCTCCGAATTTTCCTTGTTTTACTATCCTTGTGAGGACTTCGGTCCCCACAAGGATAGTGAAACCAAAAACACACACATACACACACACACACAGGTGTCACTCACCAATCTCTGGTTTGTCCAGTGGTGTAGTGGCCACGATACCAGTCACCTCCATGGGGGCGGTGACCTTATGCTCTGCTGCTGCTTCTGTCCAATCAGATATTACATAATAATGGTCAGTGGATTCAGTTATACAGATATTTATGGCTGTTGTGTGGCTAGTCTGACACCAGGTGACATGTTTTGTTTTGCCTTGCACAAAAAAAAGGAAAACATTCCAATAAAATATATGAAAGACAGAAAGATATTCATGAAACAGGAAAACCACCTTTATCATTGCTTGGATGTTGCACAACATAAAACACAATACTCATTTAATTATCATAATAACGATCATTTTGATATTTTTTTATGCCGATATAGGCCTACTGTACAGTATACGCATATCTATCCGTTGCTCAGGCAAAACTGTCATTGACAATAATTTTCAGGTTGACATCACTGTTGTAGGGGAAAAACGGGTAAAGCCTAACCTAAGCAGACCAGACAATCACTGTGGTGTGTTTATGGACTTACTGGTGGTAATAATGCCTTTGTGGGTGGCCACAGCGTGGCCCTGGGTAGTGTGTGTGGTCACCACGGCGTGGTAGGTCTGGGCGCTATCCAGGCCGCTTACAGTGAGCTCAGTTCCCGTCACATTTCTCCTCAAAACCAGTGTGTTGTCACGCTGGCGCGTAACCACCACCTCAAAGTAGGCCATGTGCTTGGGGTCCGGGCTGGCCCAGCGCAGGGTCAGGC